CTGTGATTCTGTGATTCTGTGAATTTGCTATTTTCTCCCTCAATCTGAAGTCTCTTTGTAAAATCTTTTTGCACAAAAGTGCACGTAAGACAGTATTGCTGCATTTCTGCCTCTGGTGCTAAGACAGCTGGGTAGCTCGGTTAGGATCTGTGTGGATATATGCATGCTGTATCAGAGCGCCAAACTTACAGCAAAAGGTAAATTTTGGGTTGTTCCCAAATTAAAGAGTTTCCCTGCTCATGCTCCTGGATGCAGAGCTAGGACTGAACTCAGCTCTCCTCTCTGAAGCCAAAGTGCTAATCCCACAACTTGATCTGCCCCAATAAACATTTAAATGTTCTGCACAAAAAGAAATTACTCCCAAAAAGTGACAAATCTCAGTGGCATCCCTGTCTCTTTTCTAGTAAAGATTCACTCAGGATGGCAAACACACAGATCACCTAGAAAAGCCTTCCCCTGTAGGAGTGAGGGTTCTTCCCTCCACAGGCAACATGAATTCAAAAGTCCCCTCCGATCAGAGCCACACACGCTGTATCCAGCGATCAGGAAAAAGAGAACCGGCACCTTACTCTTTGTTCTGTCCCCATCCAGAAGTATTAAGAAAATTTAACCCAAACAACCAAACCCAGCTTTTGAAGTTAATATACGGGGGAAAAAAAAAAGGAAACTAATCTGTTAGTGGAGATGGCAGCACCACTTGCAGCCCAGCTAGCACCCATCCCTGCCCAGCCGTGCTAGAGCCAGCGGGTGCACCCTGGGGTGTGTGTCAGGCCCCTACCAAAAGGCCACTAGGTATTAGCAGAGCCTTGCTGAGGGGCAGGCGGCAGGGGTGCCTGATGCTTACCTCGCAGTGATAGCACTCCACATGGTAGTCTTTGTCCATCGACACCACCCGAATGGTCTCCTCAGAGCCCTGTTGGGGAAGCAGAGAGAAGGTAAGAGCGGGTTTATAACTGGTGTTTTCTCAATCATCTTTCAGCACCCAACCCTTTGCTTTGGAGAGCTGTTTTCCTGGGGGATCCCCTCTTCCTCTGCAGAGCAGAGCTCTGTGACTGCTAAAGGTCTTTTCCCCAGTGCACAGCTCTGCACCAAGGGTTTTGCTGTTCAGCAGCAACATGGGTGTCTGACATATCTAAGCTGTAGAGGTCACTGGGGAAGTGTAGCCAAAACTTCATCCTCAAGGGACAAGTGAATCAACTAATTTTCCAAGGGCACCCAGGATCTGAACAAATTACCAACCAAAAACTATGACCTGCTGATTGGGTAACTCTTCCTTGTAGACAGCCTGGGCTGAGTTTTCCAGGCTTCGTATTCCCCTCAAACCAGCTGCTGCACAGGTATTTTGCACAGGCACATGCCGCTGTATGTACCCCACAGGGATTTACATACCAGTCCGGCAGGTAACTATGCGCACAGGCCAAAACCTCAGCGTGAGGGTGGATGCAGTGCAGTTGTGTAATTCCTGGCTGAGCCCCAGGCCCTGCAGAGCAGCCCATACCCTGCTTGTAACCTCACAGACTCCTTCCCTGATCCACTCTGAAGACAGAGCTCATTAAATTTGCTGCCTTCCATTGTTTCCAGTTCCAGGTGTGGTTAGAGCATCAGATATGACGTAGGCTATGTCTGAGAGAAGCTGTGGGCAAGTCAGTACCTGCACTGCTAGACTTGAACTAACCTAACAATCCTCTATGGGAAAGAACGTGGAGCCTATCCTGCTAGCCATCACATGAGTCGGCAGTAGGACTGCTTTATTTTTTTCTTTTCTTTCTTTCTTTCTTTTTTTCTAAAAACAGTCATTTTGTAAGACACAAATCCAGTGAAATTTACATAGGGCTTTTCTCCTCACATCCTATCACCAGGACAAGCAGTTCTGGCTCAGCCTTTATAAGATTTTTAATTCTGCGAGACCTGGCCATTTAACAGAAATAACAATGACAGAGTAACATGCAGAGTGATGGACGTGGGCATGAGAAGGACATGAGAGGCTTTACTGGGGCAGAGCAGCTTATAGGATGCAAGCTCTGGCTCTATAACCATGACAAAAGGAAAAGGAGGGAGGCGCTGAGGCCCTTGCTTACACGTGAGCTGGTAAGTAACCTCAGCAGTGGGAACTCAAGAGGGTCCTGCACCCACCCGAGTGTGAGGGAGCACCACTGCGGGCAGGCAGAAAAGCGATGTCTTAATGCAGAGGTCTCATCGTGCCAACTACAGTGTCAGGAGAGGCTGAGGTTCCAAGCAGGTCATTCACCTGGCTTCCTTTTTAACCAACTTTTCTGCTGCCTTTTCCACCCCTTTAAGCCCTTCCATGACATTGCCACCCCAGGATGACAGACTGTGTGGCCTTTTCACAGGGTCAGGATAACCCTCAGATGTCTTTTCAAGTTTGGGCATCTTAACAAATCCACATCAGAAATGCAAACATAGCAGATAAGGAAAATTGCTACTTGAGCTAATGGGAGATTCTAAAAATAATCAGGGCTTTACTTCCTGGGTTGTTCTTGGAGCCCCACTCAGGGCTTTCAATTAAATTAGATTTATAACAGCATAATTAAGACCTGGAAAGCACCCTAAAGATACAAAGTACTATGCTGCATAAGTAGTATGACTATTACAACGGCTGGGAATGTTTGGGAGTGACATTACTGCTGCACTGTATTTAATTTAGTATCTGACACAGTATAGACTCTGGAAGAGGGAGGGAAAGCATGTAATGTGTTTTCAGAACATGCTCATATGCCAACAGCTGTTTTCTCTAAAGAGTCAGTCCATGTTAACACGTACCTGTGCTGGTAGGATCGGCTGGTTACAGGAAGCGCATTTTGGTGCAAAAACCCTAGGGTGCAAGAAGAAAGTGTTCAAACCACACTTAAAGCTTCTTCAAAAAGTAGAACCCAGACAGCTATTCTATCCATGCCTTGTTTTTACCAAAATTTTACCAAATTTGAAACACCTCTAAATATTTGATGATACTCAGGCAAAAGGAGATTTGGAAGAGGCTGATCTACTCCACCTCTACTGCTTAGGTCTTCCTGACCTCTGGGCATAGTGAGTCCAGCCCTCTTCCCACATACACCCTTTCTCTCACCTCCCTTTACTCGTAACGCCATTCAAATTCTTCCAGAGACTTGCTGCTTTCCCTGCAAAGCAGCTCCTGACTTGGGGACTTGTCACCATCTGACGTCAGGACAACACAACCATGGTAAACAGAGAGGGGCTGACTGTGGCTAGGAGCTACTTAAACCAAATACATCAACTGGTCTTATTACCCACAGCTGCATTTCCCAACACCCACTGGGCCAACACTCACTCTATCCTTGCAACACGGTCAGCTTGCTATCAATAGGGTTGAGTTCAGATTGACTCTTGCTGCTTAAGCTGAGTTCTTGGCTGACTGGAGCTAAGAGCATTCACGTCACCCTTGAGCGCGAGCAGAGAAGAGTCCAAAAGCAATCTCTTAAACCACAAGACTTTCTGTCAGGTGAGGCTAAAATCATTCTAACACCAGCTGCTACTTACGTGCCTCACCAGTCTAGGTGAACCCAACTTACACTCGCCAGTGTCGGGCACTACCAGAACCTCAACTCTTAGAACAGCCAGCAGAACCCACCATTACTTGCAGAATTAGCCTGATCTAATCAGTGTTTAAAGTCCTGAAAGAAGTAGAGAAACAGCCACCAGAGAAGTACATCCTCTGACACGACTTGACTTTCAACCTCCCCTGGCCACTGTATGCCACACTGGGGCCATGAAGTGACCTTTAATATCACTTCAATATCCTTTACAAATGCAACATGTGAGAGCAGCACTTGAGGGACATCTGAGCAAACAGGAATGACCCTTTTTATCTACTACAAGGCTTGTAACTGTAACAACAATTTAACTACTATGATTTTTCCAAGCATGCAAGGGATTTGCGTACTTACGTATGGTAGTCTTTGACACAGTAAATATTGTTCTCCACATCTACAGTGAAAGGGACACCATCCAAACACTCGTTACACACCACACAGCGGAAGCAGCCAGGATGGTATGACTTTCCAAGGGCTTGTAAGATCTTAAGAGGCAAACAGCAAAATAAGTGGATACATGATTACACAAGATCCCCCCCCATAGACTGCTGTGTCTGATTCTTAATGACAGTGAGAAAAGCACTTCAGGATGAAATTACCGCTCTGCAGATCTGTCAGCAAGGGGCCTTTTAAAACAATCAACTTGCTTGTTTCAGTAGGCTCCCAATAAAGGGAGCAAATTGTGAAAATCAGGCTAACGCCCTTAGTTCTGCAGGGCCAATACTGCCAACAGAAATTAAAGAGATCGCTTCTTGGAAAATCTGTTGCAGCCAAACACAAGTTACTGGGATACAGAGTTAATTCACAAAAACTTAGCAGGCTGTGACAGACACAATCCAAACCAGTCATTACTCAAACTTAAAAAGTAAAATAACAAAACAAGCAAATAAATAGGCATCCCTCTATTAATTAAGGATCCTAATCCACCATAGCTACTGACTGGTTATCATGCAGTCACAGCGGCCCACTGTTTCCTGTTAAAATCCCACCTGTATCCATGTGTTTGGATACAGATCCATCCATCTGCCCAGGCCTTTCCCACACTGACCTTCCCTACTGCATTTTAAAGGTTCCAAGGAAAAGCCTCATGCAGTCTCAGCTACACCACTACAGAACAGATCCCCTCCCTCCCTGTGTCGTCGTAATGCTCAACGTGGCACTGGGACCTCAAGGAGGATGCACCAAGCCCATGAACATGTTATCATCTTCAGGCAGCTCTCAACAGGCTATAGCACCAACTGCACACAATTCAGGTATAAGAAACACCTTTGGAAGGTGATTTCAGAGAGTATCTGCTAGCAGCAGTGCTCAGCTTGGAGCTGCTAATAAGCTGGAGATGAAAAATGACCACAGGCAAAGCTCTCATGGCCCTGTAGGTGATTCTATGAATAAAGATCAAATCAACAGGAAATAAGAAGTGGTGCATAGGAAAAATACACCAAGTCAATTTAATTTAACCTTTTTTCTCCCCTCTAATTTCTCCCCCTATAGGTCTCCGTTCAGTGACTCCATTTGGTTTGCAAGCCTGCTCCTAGCCAGAAACAACTTGTCTCTGTGCATGCGTTGCTCTCTAGACAGCTACACAGCACATGCTGTTAGCCTGGCATGGGGCTGCAGCTCCCTCTTTGCACAGAGCAACTCCTCATTCAACTGCACTTTCAGCCTGGAACAGCTTTGGTTGTGCCCAGGCGGATGGGTCTGCTCCGCAGCTGCACGTGGGCACCGATGCTGTGCGGGCACCGCTGCTGCGCGGGCGCATTTCTGGTGTGTGCGGCCCAGGACAGAACACGAAGGAACTGGCCAGGTAAGGCTTAACTCCTGGAGCTCCCAAAGCTGCCTCCTGCTGTCAGAGCACACTTGCTGACAGGAGAAAGGCAGACAAGCACCTGCCAAGCTTCCAGCTCCTGAGCTGCACCAGCGAGATGTTATGGACTCCTGCCTGGGATTCTGCAATTAAGAGCCAGCTCAAAGCATGCAAGTCAGGATACCCCTCCCCCTCCCAGCATGACACAACTCTAGAAATTTGCTCTTGGGCTAAAACGAACAATATCCTTGTCCAACCAGTGGTGCCAGGATGTGAGCCAGAATCCTCATTAGTGAAGTCTCCGTTCCAGCTCCCACCTAACCTCTGTGTTTGTAACGCAATAGCTACTTCCATTAGGCATACTGAGGTTCATATACATTTTAAAGCAAGAGGAAGACAGACAACATGATCTGCACTTCTTCAACATCCAAGCCACTTCATTTTGTTTGGGAATTTCTGCTTAGGAAGAACAGACTAAATTCTTCCTACTTTCACCCTCTGAAATGATGCCACCAGTATTTGGCCCAACCCATAGCCCTTTGATTCTTTTTATTATAAAAGTAACTCTAAGTACTGGCTCCCTGCAAATCCCAGAGGCAATAATACATTGTAACTGATGTGGAACAAGCGGCAGAAGGTAAATAAAGCAAGTCACAGAGCAGGGAACAAACCTCAAGTCTATTGATAACGTCCATCTCCTCTCTAGCCCAGATTCCATCCATTTGACAGCCTCTGTTTTCAGTTACCACGCTCTCATACAAAGCTGTGCTGTATTTTCCCCCTTCAGTATTAATTTTTTTTTTTTTTAAGTCTGGCAGAACAACAGCCTCCCATGATTTCAGGTAGAAAAGCAGCTCAATTTACTGTACTTAATAGAACACAAAGGTGTGTTTATTTACTGCCTCAGTGTCAAAAACTACCTTGACAGCAGTGAAGATACAACAATAGTCTGACTGGGGAAAAGGCACAATGCCTCACAGAGCACTACCCAAATTACACGAAAAGCAAGCTACCCCGCAGTTAGGAATTTAGGTCTCTTACCATTTCCATTATGAGGTGTCCACAAACAAAGCACTTGTCCGCTGTTTGCTGAAAACCTGAATACTGTTGAAACAACAGAAAATAAAGAATTATTAGTAGCTCCTCTAGCTGCAGAAATACCTTTTAAGTGAACACTGTGCTATTTTCCAGCCTGTGCTGTATATGATAGCAACTATACAGCAGGGTTAGGAGACTGACTGGGAAGCCTTCGCTCTGCTCTTGCAGCGTGCTCAGGTACCAGCCTGGCCTTCTGGTTCACTGCAAGAGTTCCATTGAGATTTCCAAAGTAAGAACATTATTTTAAGTTTTATTTTTATTTTTGAAGACTATTTGGTGCGTGTGTGTTCAGTGTGCTGGAATTAGCCTGAATTTCCTCTTTTGGGTTTTTTTTGCTCTCGGGGTGGTAAATAACATAGATTTACCTCCTGCTCATGCTAGCGACCAGAGGCTTACTGGCCTCAGATTCTGGACCTGCATTTCACTCAGTGCCATTTGCAGGCTAGGAGAATGAAGACAGACCCAAGGAGGATTTAGCTGCGTCGTGGATAACAAACTTTTTATCCAGGGAAGAATCTAAAAGTCCAATTGTAGGAGCTTGGGCTCCCTGCACAGTATGGGAAACGGCAAGGTCCCGCAGAAGGATGGCACAACCCCCAGCCGCCAGCCCGTGCCCCAGCCCTCGGCAGGAATTGGGAAGGCTGGGCAGGCCCGGTAGCAGAACGCTCTTGGGTTCAGTGCCGGGGGCATGGCTGCCGGGAGATACTTTGCCCACTTGGGACCAAAGCTCTGTGTTCCCTGCCCGAGTGTTTTTGACCCTAACTTTGTACTTGCTTCCTCAAAGCCGATCCTGTTACAGATGCCAAAAGTCTGTCTTTAGCCCTGTGTTTAGAGGTATACAAAAAATACCAAGGTTATCAGGCCGGATGATTGACCTACCAAACAACTGCCCTACAGGCAAGAGGCATTTGCCCCAAGAATTTTGAAACTGGTGTTTGCAGTGGCTGAACTTTGCCCTCACCCACCGCAGCCCCGTACAAGCGAAGTGCTGTGTGCGCACGTTCCTGCCAGAGGGAAGAGGTGCCCAGTTATTGGTATGGTACTGTGTGGCAAGACTTATTCCAGCAATTAAGGTTGTAGCAAACCTCACCTGAAATGCGCTTTAGTTGCTCAAGATGGAATGGGGAGGACAGATGTAAACTGGACTGTTCTCCCAGAGCACAGGTTAACTGGCTTAGGTATCTAATGCATCCTCAGAGCCTCAGCCCAACTGAGCTTACAGCCTGCTCCACTCCCCCCTTGATTTAGCGGGGATTAACTGTCCCCTCGCCTAAAAAGCCAGTGGTTCCCAGCCCAGAGCTGCCATATGTTCCCCTTTTTACTGGTGTGAGGGGATTACCTGTTAGTTCAGATCAATAGGTTGGAGACAAAATTATTGTTGCTGTGCAGCAAAGTGATTATGAAGCAAAAGGTCTCACAGACAGAAAGTCAGTAAATGATGGTATGACAGCTGTCACAGCTCTACAGTCACTGCACATTAAGGAACACAGCTCACGCAATCTTACACTTTGAAACTTCATCTCAAGAGACCAGGGTGTTGAGGAACAAATGCAGAGGCAGGCAGTCCTAGCTGGCTCCTTCTGCAAGACACTGTTTTTTTGCTTTTTTCTTCTTCTCACTGAAGCAGAAAAAAGGCCTCACTGCTTGGGATGCTTCTTGGCTGTGCTGTATCTGAGTAACCATCTGGCCAGACTATTTCCTGAGGTTGCGAACTCGAGGGTTACTGGAAACAGGTGGGTAGGTCCTAGTGGCACAGACAGCAGAGGATTAACAATAGTACAAACCCAGCTAATTCTAAAATCCTTCTGGAATGAATTTACCAGTACCATCTGGCTGTCATTTGATAAGGAATGCAAAAGAGCATTTACCCAGCTATTGATTAAGAGGGAACATTATTCCCCAGGAACGGAATGGTACAGTGGTCAGATTAATGCCATTTATTGCTAACTAGATTGTCATAAATTACAGTTCGTCAGAAAGAAAGGTTTTGCTGACACAAAATCACTCTTTCTATGACTAACCCTATTAAATTAAAACCATGATTTGTTTTTAACAAGAGAGTTGTTATTCGTCAAACACATCCAGAACTGGATTACCCAATTAAGAAGACTTTGCAAAATGGCAGTAAGTCTAATAGCAGTGGGCTCAGGAGCTGTCCTTCACCACTACACTCTTTTCTGATCACAGTATTGATCCCAAACAAACTGGAGATGAGATTCAGTGAGATCAGGGTTTTAGATTCAGCTCTGCTTGTTCTTTAAATCTATTTGGACAGGAGAAGAATAACAGCCTCAGATCCCAGCAGCATTGCTTTCTACATGAGGGCAATACTGTGGACAATGCTGCTTAAAGGTAAACAATAAATTATTTTCTCTACATTCTTGTAGCTCATCTGTCAACTTCTGGTTTGCAGCATTTGTTCTTAACTGGTAGAGGGCTGTTGTGCTACTTTTTTGATTTTAGAAGCAGAGCTCACAAACAAAGTCTTAAAATACTAATTAAAATTGGCAACCTCTGTCTTTGAAGCACTTGATTATTATTAACCTTCACAAATCTTGTGTGTGCAATGAGAGAGAAGTTGTGACTTGCTCCAGACTGCCGATGAGGCAGCATGGCCTCCTTCCTATCCCTCAGCTCTCCCAGGAGCATCCCCCAAGTGTGGGCTCCCAGCATGGCTGGGTGGAAGAAGCACTGGTCCCGCAGAGCTTGTGAACTAGGTAACTGCGAGAGGAGAGGAGGTTACGCTGCACAAAATTGTAGCTTCTTTTACGGCTGATGTAGTTGGAGGGGGAGTAAGAGCTTTTGCGCACACCAGCCCTTCCTCACAGTCTGGAGACATGAAAAAGACTGAGGTGAAACAGTGAAGTAACACAGCCTGACAGGCAAGAGTCTAGTGGAGAGGCCAAATCACAGCTATGCTTCCTGCGCACACGTATTTCGTACATACAATTTCACTGGGATGTAAGCAGCACTGGCCTCAATTCCAGCCTTACTCTATAAGGGTTTTGTATGTGCCAGTTTTGTCTTTTTTTTTTTTTTTTTTTTTTTCTCCTCTTCTGTTGGCAGACCAGTAAGATGATGTAAATACAGACAAATCTCAAACTAGGCAGAAAAGTTCAAAAGTCTACACACAGTCTGTACCCAGGACAAATAAGAATCGTAATTTTGAACTTTTCCAAATATTAATTATAGATGCTCATTAAGCATATATAAAAACATTGAAATAAGTTGTTATAAAAAGAAGAGCTCTGAAATTCAAAGCCAAAAATGAAGCGTTACCCTTCACTCTTGCTTCTGTGACTTAGAAATAAGATGCTAGTTACCTGGATGCAAAGAAGACATGTTCACGTTGAAGAGCTGGTATATTATTTTTGCTGATTTCTTAGTTCGGTCCCAACTGCCTTCTCCCATATTTACCTGTCCTTGACTTGTCTCCGAGGATAATAAAATCTCACTTTATGTGCATGAATCAAGACTTTGTAATCAAGCTCCCCAATGATGCTTATAGAAAATAAGACTCTGGGAAACTAAATAAACCTTGAGAAATATGTTAATTATGTTAGAATAAAAGAGTAAAAACAAAGTAGAAGACTTGGCTGGCTGAACTTTTCTTTTGTTTGCTGTCGACTATACTTTTGATTATCAAACAGGCAAAAAAATCTCTAATGATTCTGTCCAAGAGTCTTTGTTTCAATGTAAGAGGAAAACAAGTCCCCTTCTGTCCTGAATATTGAGGCCTGTTAGTGTCCTCCTGTGATAATCTTGGGGTTTATAACTCTTCTGTTTAATGTGCAATATATCCAAAAGAAATTAACAATGAATTTTGAGCCTATAATGAACAATTATGCATGGAGGATAATCCCACCAAGTACTATGAGAAACAATTTCTCCTGTCTGCCCTCAGTCCTGTAACCAATCCTGGTTTGTCTACCCAGGGTCTTTTAAAGTTTGATGTTCTCATCATGATTTTCAAAAGCAAAAAGTTCAGAAAATAGCGTGCCTGAAAAAGGATCCAAGGTTTCTACCTTAAGCAATGTCAGATCTCTGAAAAGACACATTGCTTCTCCTTCGCATGCCTAACCGTGCCCAAGGAGAGGCTGATGCACTTCCCTGCTGTTATGCGCTCAACAAAACAAAACCTTCCTCTTGGAAACAGACCCTGGAATCTCATTCAGGCCCATTTTCTTCTTTGATGAGGATGTTCAAAACCTGCTAAAGGTTTATGCAAGCAGATCGAGTGGGTTACATTTCAGTAGGTGTGGCAGTTGCTGCCTCAGTAATGGTATAAAGCCGTAAAATCTACAATTCACTGTTCCAGCACTGCAAAGTCACCGAACGCGATTGCTCAGCCTAGACTTGAGACTCTTACCCTTTTATACTTTAGGGGCTTTTGAGAGGAATGATCAGGAGTTTTTGCCAAAATGCTTCAGGCATTTAAATCTGAAAACTAATTTCTGAATTGGGTGCTATGCTAATAATGCATTCCAACCCCAGGCTGCCCGTAATCCCCCACAGCCTGTCTTCTCCTTGGTTTCCCATTAGCAGAGCATCTGTCTTCTCACTGCTTTATTGTTTGCTCTCTGCATGGGACCCTTAGTACATGGGACACAACAATGCAAGAAATTCATGGGATCACGTTCAGAGGAGGGAATATAAAATTTGGTTTCATGCAGATGGGGGTTTGTTGTTTTTTTACACATGTATTTAAATGCAGCAATTAAACTGAACTGAGCAAAATGGGGCCTTCTCGCGCTCAAAGATACAGGAGCCTCATGGCAGGTGGCAGAGATTAATCTAAAGGAAAATAGTCCAGAACTTTACTCTTCGTCTCACTGAAACCCTTTCATGTACCATGTCTTGCTGCCAGTGCAGAAACACTACCACCCCAGCTTATCTTCTTGCTTCTGCACTTCCACTTTGTTACGTTTGAAGGACAAGGGTAGGGCAAGGAGGGACTTCATGTTCTGAACAGAGGTAACAGTTGGTCTGGCCACGCACAAAACTCT